TAATTTTCAACTCATATACATATATACTTTCAAATTGACCGTAACCTGATAAGATGAAAATTCCATCAAAGACAAATCTTCAAAAATTCATAGCTGTTTTTGATCGTGTTTTTTCACGTGTTTCAAAAAGCTTAAAGATTAATGCATTCTTTAACATCGATGATGATATGAACAGTGAATTTGTAGTAAGTATTATAGTGTTTCAAATAATGTAGTAACAAATAAACCAAACCCACTTCGTACTTATTGGTTCACGAATTGTACAAATTATAATGTAACTTTTAATGTTAAATATTATTAATGTATGTGTATATGTATTTGAAGTTGTTTGCTTGTTTGTTGATTTTGTTAAAAGTACGTAATTTAATATTATTTTTGTTTGGGAAAAAATGTTTTAAATTAACTGAAAGTGTTTCGATTTTCCTCGTCAACAATCCTTTTACTCGCCTCGAAAATAGGTATTTTTTGTACTAGTGAACAAATAACCATGATATATTTCAATTTTAGCAACAATATCTTTAAATAATTTAGCGAGTGGAATATTTTTGTTTTGTAATGAAATAATTACAGGTTTATTCAATTACTCTTTTATTTTGAACACGTTATGGTTAACACAGGTATGTAGTTAAAGTATCTGAAATAAAGTTGAAATCTGAATTTGTGAATGTTGAAACACACATGTGATGCTAATGAATTAGCCATGATATGGCTGACAGCTAACCGTAGAACTGATTTTGGATTGAACTATATATATTGGTGGTGAAGTTTGTAGTTCTAACTACTTAATAAATAAATACACAGTTGTTACTGTGTGTTAATGTTTCAGTTTAATCATACACCAAATTTTCATAAGGTGCGAATAATGGAGAATCAAACCCGCTTTAAATACAAACTCCACTTTTTTCTAAACTTTAAAACACGGAAAACACTAACACTATGATAACCAAAATTAAAAATAAGTTACATTTGATGAAAAGTTCCAATGATAATTTTTTTCTATTGATTTGTATTCTAATTGCTTGTTAGGAAATAAATATTTAATGATAATCGTCATGGTATCGTTTATGTTAATCTAGATACTTAATCAATATGTATCACTCAACAGATAAAAGTCAAATTGCTGCAATATTGGTACAGCCAAAATGAGTTTTTTCCTGATTATGAATGTGATTGATGTGTGTTTAGTATCAGATTTAATTTTTTTAATGTGCCATATTCACATTTATTAAAAAGAAAATATAATGTAATATAAAATACAATTCCAACGTAACAACAGGAGTAACGTTCTGGACGACGTGACTCAAGTGTTTTGGCATAGTTCATCTGTCTGTTGTAGAAAAGATGCAGCGTTGAGACTACTTACAGACTGATTTTTTATTAATTGAAAACAAATAAATTTAGAGAAGATTCAAGTGTGATAGAAACTGAGTCTTTTAATTGTGCTTTTATTAAATTAGTACTTATTGATAATCTGTGGGTATTACAAGTAATTTAAGTGCTTATTATTTAAGACAACTTTCAAGTATTTATTTAATATGTCTTTAAGCTTTCACATGTTTTTATAACCCACAGTTCTTTTTGGTTATTATAAAATCATTTGCGGTGATTTTAAAAAGTAAACTGCCAACTCAAAATATTCAGTATGGTCACATACAGAGTTAATTTTGTTTTAGAGAAAAGATTATACAAAAGACGAAAAGTAAAATTTTACAGAATGTCACTTTAATTTTTAATCGGGTACATTATTTTAATATTATGTACCTACGTACTGCACAGTAAACCCTATTTTTGGTATTTTGTTAAACAGATAATCTCTGAAGCTAATGGACCCTTCACTGCGAAATTTTAAGTGTAGGTACTTTCTTTAGATGGTAAAATATTAACCAAAATTTATCCATTCATCCCCACCAATCATTTGATGATGTCATCTCCTAATTTTCTTAACATGTTCTTTTATATGTGATTTATGAATAATTGATATGTTTCACCTTACACATTGAGTTATTGTAGGAAAATAAAATTTGTAACATTGGCTCAATGGCTACAGAACTTATTTTTCTTTATTGTTTTAAGTATTATTTTATTGTCCTATGAGCAGTGTTGCTCTGTAAATAACATATCGACGTGCTTAGCGCTTGCGGTGTGTAGCTCAGTGGTTTGCCTTGCATGTGAAGTCTCTGGTTCGATCCTGAAATTCGTAGAACAAACTAACGTTGATCGTGTTACATTATACCTATCAATATGTTTATCCTTACCAAAAATTACTTAATAAATCTTTATTCAAAAATGCGCTGTAACATGCATTCGTTGTATACAGGCGAGTGAAGCTCTGCTTAAACATTTTTTAAATTAATTTTTTAATAGTTTGATGAAATGAAGCAGACAAGTCAATAGCAATCACTGAGGATTCGAACAAGAATTTAGTTCATCTACAGAACAGTGGCATGAGGTTGACGTAGATTGAAGGGAACATTTTCCTAATGAACCCCTGATTTACGTGACAAATCATATTTATCACCGTTGCTTACAATTACGTATAAAATGCACCACATCAAATTTAGCTGAGATACTCGGGGAAAAAAGACAGTAAGATAAATACACCCATTAGGGTATGTTTCCTCATTAGCAAGAAACCCAAGAAAACCTATGAGGTAATAAATGAATATGTTTTTATTTATTTCGGCAAAGATTTTATAATAAGGAATGTCTCTACCCATCAGATATATATCGAAGCAATTCCCGACGTATTAAATTATTTACCAAACTACGAAACAATTTTAGTTAAGCCGGGTTGAATTAATTATATGTCATAATTGGGATTAGGTCGTGTCATGTACATATTCGGATGGTTCCCAAATAACATTTGAATCATTCAGGAAACCACCAACAGTATGAAGTTCGCTGCGATGTCTAAATTAATTAATGATCCTTATTCCTAAAAACTACGAAAATTGGATATCTGGCAAACTACCGTTTTGAATTTCACTCACATAAACTGGGCTTCGGATTATTCTTTTCATTGATTCTCTGCGTTGATTAATGATCAATGCGCGATTTATGGTTTCTTGACGTCCTCCAAGTATGAGTTGGTTTCCTAAATAATATATCTGGAAGGTTAACAAATGTGGGGCTTTATGTTTGGATAGTGTGTTGAGAATACTAATACTGTAAAAGAATTTTAATATCAAGGAATGAAAATGAAAAATACTGACTTTTTAATCACATCCACGTATTTTACTTCATACAAAAACATGTAAAATTCATAAAAAGGAAGGGATGTTTAATGAATGTTTACTTTTCTCGGATTTAAGAGAAAATAATGTTAATGTGTTTTTAGTTCAGTGAATGAAGAGAAGTTGTTCACAAAAGATAGGCTGTGCAAATCAAAAAGAAATTGTCATTGGGTCCACTTCAAATAAACCTGAGTAGATTAAATGAATTAGTGGATTTAAAAATAACAAACATCAGATTATGTACATAGACTATTGATGTCAAGTGTTTTATCTGCTGTAAATAAAACAAGCTTAACTTTTTAAATAACTGAAAACTCGTTTTCGGGGATTTATTCCAATGATGTGATAAATCCACCAGTAATCAAATGGATTTTATAATGTTCAGCTATTTTAATATTATCGTGTCTCTCCATGTTCCCGCTTTTTGTAAATGATAATAATACTTTTGAGAATTTTTCCAGATTTTTTTGATATGTTGGAAATTGTACTTATAATTGAAATTTCAAGCGTTTTTACGAAGCAAGTATTTTGTTGCATCTTAATTTCAGCTGTTCGTAACAACCCTGGAAGCAAATTATTGCCGTCAATTTTGTGTGCTAGCCCATATCTGGTATCAGTCAAACATAACACATGAAATGACAAACGGAAATCTTCCTAGTAGTGGGTCTAGGCAGGGAGAAATGTTTTAGATTAAATGTAACTGTATTTTCGCTATAAATGTGACAGTAAATTTAAAGCATCATTTTTCTTTCTAATTAAGGGAATATAAAGTTTTAAGTATACTTACTTTTCAGGGTGTTTATGTAAAAAATCGTTATGCAAATGAACAATGCGTCATATTGCAACCGTATAACTTACTTCCTCCGTAGGAAATGTTATGCCACTTGCAATACATTTAATTTAATGACGTTACGCACGCGATCTTGCCTAATATATAGGTGTTAAACGCTATTTAATTTTAGTTGTTGAAACAGTTCCGTAAGGTTTCCAACCAACAGTACAAAACGTCGCTTTTAATTAGTATGTATTTCTAGCAATTTGGTGGTATACTGGTGTGGACTGAAAAATTAATGCCTAAAGAACCAATAGGGGTTAAGGCTACAAACAATCGATACCTTTGACTTATTAAATATATACTTGGGGTAACTTTGATTGAATTTCTTCCCTTCTGTATCTATCTATTCGACGTAGAGAAAATTCACAAAGTATGGGAATGTGAATGTTAAAATATTTTATTCGTAAAAGTATTATATGAACAATACTTGTACTTTGTTGACCGATTGTATCAAGATATGCAAACAATAATAGTGTAGTTAGTTATTCTTTACGTGGGCTTTATTTCCGATTTGTTTAATAGCCAAAGTACGCATGTTTACATGGGAGTAGTTCAGCGACCAACGGTATGTGTCGCGAATAATTGGGTGAAATCTCTATAAATAGAATGTTAGGGTCACATTACTATAGAAATAGCGCTTTTGCTATTTCCATCTTAACTGCTATTAATAACGATGGCTAATATTTTCAGAATGGTTTTCTACGTTTACAGTTAGCATTATCTTACTGTCGACTTCATTTAGTTAAATAAGTATGTATTAATTAAACAGAATTACATCGGTATCTAAACCAACTATCATTATTGTCGTCATTATAAATATGCATTGCTATAAAATAAGATTAAATTCTTAATTATGTATTAACATTAGAAATGAGTCTGTTGTAACAAGTTTCCAGAATTTATTGAATTAACAGGAATGTTTTCTTTTTCAGGGGAGCTTTTTCAGTAGTGAGGAGATGTGTTCAGAAGTCTACAGGTTTAGAATTCGCCGCCAAAATTATAAATACAAAAAAATTATCAGCAAGAGGTAAGATCTTTAATTATCGTTTTGGATATTTTATCAATTGATAAGATTGATGTAAAAATGTATTTCAACCTTTTTAAATGAAAGGCTGGATGGACGTTAAACTAGGTCAAGTATTGAATAAACAACTGTTATTCTTACACATTACATATAAATAGTTTGAAATGTACAAAGTCCATAGCTTCACTATTCGATATCTTTTGGTCGAAAGAAGGTTGCAAAGCTCATGTTGGACATGTGTATTTGTAAAAGGAAAACTTCAATACGTATTGGATCAATCTTCTTCCCAGTCCATTTGACAGGCAGAGTCTCGCTTATCGGTGAAGATATTGCCAAATGATACGTTAGGTCTAATGGCTTGGTTACTAAAACATGTCGGAACTGGGGAAATGTTGCAGAGGTAATTGCCTCCACCATAGCACAGTCTTTTATTTTTTCTTGAAAACTATCACGTGATCCAATGTTTTTAATAAATACACATATTACATATTACAAAACAGTTGACATCATAGTGTTTGTAAAATTTTTGACACCATTTGAAATTCTCTCAATCACATTATAGATAATAATTAGTTTGTCAGTTACATTTGACTTAACTCGTATGCATTTAAATACTATAGATAATGTTCATGTTTTAGGAGAATTTTTTGTTAATAAAATGAATAATTTTAGGGGAAACAACACCGATTTTGGTACGTCTAACCAACTTTTTAAATTCTTGTGTTTATTTGTCTTGTTAGATAGAAAAAAATCCAAGAATGATATTCAGAATGTTTTTAATATTCGTACTTTAAAGTAAATGATAGCAGCGTACCTCTGACTGTTTGAACTGATTCATACATTTATTGTTTATTCATGTGCGCGTTTTTTGTATATTTTATGATTAGAGGAAAGCCAACGTGTGCAATCTATACAAAAAATAACTGCAAATAGTAGCTAGGTGTATAAAGAGAATTATTCTACAAGACACTACAGGTAAGGCTAACTTTTAGAAGATATCGATAAAGTTTCGCCAGACGGGAACTGTAAACGTTCGGAAACGCATATATAATACCCAAGGGACTGCCAATCAAGTACAAATTCTATAGTACAAATATTACGATTATAAGTTTAGATTGATTTAAGATTCAGTTTGCAGATTGTGCCAAGTAAGTAAAGGTTAATTATTAGGTTTTCACGAATGGATAGATGGGACAACTTCCCTTCCATTAAGTCTGGAGTTGGAGCCCATTTTTCGGAAATAGGTTGAACAGCCTATCTCACCTGAATTTTTTGAAAATGTTGCAAACTTACAGGCAGTTACAAAAAAAGGCGTTCATTATAATGTGATAAAAATTAAAATGATCCAGAACGCATTTTCTTAGCTTTTGGGTACCAGAGATCTTGTACAGTCGCGTAAGATCATCATTATGTGACAGATGGAGTACATGATAATTCAGTGGAAAACGTAATCTCTGCGGGCGGGAATAATAATAAATATCATAAATTCAATTCTTGGAAGTAGTTGATGATAAGCGTCTAAGAATAGAAATGTGTATATGGGATATCGGTGTAACTTTTCAGCATCTGATTTTTTGTGTGCACAGTTTATTGTTTATGTTTTGTATTGAAGTTTAAAATTGTTTTCTTCAAAGTAAATAGCATCGCATAACACAATAATCACTTATCATGAATGATTTTTACTTCCCGAGCGTAAGCAAAGGAAGTATTGTAATCGAGTCCGTCGGCCGACTCTCTACTTTTACGTTTTCTCGATCTTTCATGACCCCTAGAAGACGAAGAAATAGGTCTCCCATTTCCGTCTGTCTGTCCGTCTGTCCGTCTGTCCGTCTGTCCGTCCGTCTGTCCGTCTGTCCGTCTGTCCGTCTGTTGTCACGGATTTTTATTAGACAGATAATCTCCGAAAGTACTCGACCGATTGTTGTGAAATTTTGTACTTATATTAAGAATATCATGTAGATGGTAAAACGCTAACCAAAATTTGTCGAATCATCCCCACCACTAAAGCGATGACGTCACTTCAAAATTGTACATAGTAAATGGGTTTTCAATTGTATAAAATAACATAGTCCTACACATGTAGTTTACAACTCTGAATCGACTTTTCACCCGAAACGTCCAGATTTTTGGAAAAAAAATCAAAATTATAAAACAACATTTTGAAATTTAATTTTTAATCTGCTAACCAGAATGCTTTGAAATGTTGCAGATGTTTTAAGGCTATAAAGAGCATCATAAATCTTTAGTCAAAAAATATTTGCTTATCCCCTCCAAAAACTTGATGACGTCAGCTCAAAAGTTTGTGGAATAAATCATATCTAAAATGTACAAAATATGATGAGTCTGTACTTGTGAACTATCACTCCATTAATATTTTTTGGATTTGCATATACAGGGTGACTCAAAAAAATTAATGAATGCGTAAATATATTTTATTGATTTAATCAGGAACTACAAAACCGAATGCTCTGAAATCTTGCAGATGTTTTAAGGTCATAAAGAGCATAATAAATGTTTAGTCAAAATATATTTGCTTATCCCCTCCAAAAACTTGATGACGTCAGCTCGAAAGTTTGCCGAATAAATCATATCTAAAATGTACAAAAAATGATGATCCTGTACTTGTCATTTATCACTCCATTCATATTTTTTGGATTTGCATATACAGAGTGACTCAAAAAAATTAATGAATGCGTAAATTTATTTTATTGATTTAATCAGGAACTACAAAACCGAATGCTTTGAAATCTTGCAGATGTTTTAAGGTTATAAAGAGCATAATAAATTTTTAGTCAAAATATATTTGGTTATCTTCTACAAAAAACTGATGACGTCAGCTCAAAAGTTTTCCGAATAAATCGTATCTAAAATGTACAAAATATGATGAGTCTGTACTTGTGATTTATCATTCCATTCATATTTTTGGATTTGCATATGCAGGGTGACTCAAAAAAATTAATGAAGGCGTGAATTTATTTTATCGATTTAATCAGGAATTACAAAACCGAATGCTTTGAAATCTTGGGAATATTTTAAAGTTATTATAAGCATGGTAAACTTTTGTTCAAAATGTATTTGTTCATCCCTCCTAAAAAAATTGATGACGTCACCCTTAAATTTTGCTGAATAAATCCTATCTAAAATGCAAAAAATATGATGAGTTTGTACTTGTGATTTATCATTCCATTCATATTTTTTAGATTTTCTTAAGAGGTGGTTCAAAAAAATTAATGAAGTCAATTTATTTTATTGATTAAATTAAAGGCAACACTTATTATTAGTATTACACCCCAACCAACCCAATTTGGTAGACACAAAATTTGTTAAAGGAAAAACTCGGTTGAAACATAAGGGTAGCACGCTTATTTACATCGACTTTAACATTACAGACCTGCATTTGTTTTATGCGTTTACTTGATTCCGCGAATGTGAAATAGACATGTTTATAATCAACCAATTGTGAATTTCACCGTCAAGAATTAAAATAAAACCCAATGTTTTATATAATAAGCGGAAGTCGAAGCAATAAAACCGACGGTCGTTTTGTTTACAGTTTCTGTGTTTGGCTCTCACGTATGCTGTTACGCCTGTCATCTTAAATTAACAATGTTTATACATACACGATTTTCAGTTGCCTCTGATACGTAGGTATACGTGAGTAAATTGTTTCGTTATTTTATTGATTATTACAAATCAATATTCAAACGACCCAATTCATTTTCCCGAAAATTTTAGAATATAATAATTTTATTCTTAGTATTACACTACTCTATCCCAACTGATATACGTGTCCTTGCAAAAATGTTGATGACGTCATCGCAATTTTTTTTTTTTAAATCCCACTACAAAAATGTAATGAGAAAAAAAACACAATAGGCATGCAGTCGTCAAGTTTCCGACAGCGAGGGAAGTACTGTCTAAACTCTTTAGACCAATTTTTTACTTAAGTTTCCCTAAATAGATGGTGATGTTTCGGTTGAAAAAATATTCTGTCTTCGACATTACCACAGAACTTGATAACTAAGAATACTTACAAGGATGCATTTATTTTCATATTTGTTTACTGTCTACTTCGTTTTTAATTTATGAAACTTTTTAAGTAACATTTAAAAGTTATACATTTTACTTCCCGAGCGTAAACTAAGGAAGTATAGTAATTGAGTCCATCGGACGAATGGTCACTTTTATGTTTTCTCGACGTTTCATGATTGCTAGAGTACGAAAAAAGTGGTCTCCCGTTACCGTCCGTCTATCTATCTTTTTGTCTGTCTGTGTGGATTTTTATTAGACACGTAATCTCCGAAACACACTGGACCGATTGTGGTCCAATTTTCTACGTACGTATACCACGTAGATAAATTCAATGACGTACTTTCAAAGAATTCTATTTTAAAACTATTTAAATGTTGTGCAATAATATACTCCTATACTTGTGTTGTATGAATTCGCTTTGAGTTTTTTCCTAAGCGTCCAAATGTTCTAAAAAATATACATAGTGTAATAACTTAATAATTCCGCACTGTGTATGATCGATGTTTATGACGTCATAACAAATATTTTATTGACCAAATTAAGAACGAGTCAGTACATTTTCTCGAAAGGGTGAGACTACGCACGTCTTTATTTAATAAAAATTGTAATAATATTCAGAACATTCTGTTCGATTGTGGCTTAATTATTAATTTTAGTTCTCTGTTTTGAGGCGACAAACTCATTTAGATCAAACAAATTTCTACGTAACATTCTTGCGATGTATAAACAAACACTTGAAGCCACAGCTTATTATTGCTGAGAGGCCATTTTCCGTTGGTTATCTGCTTTAAATATATTTTACATTGTCCGTACTTTTGCAATTTGCACTTTTATAGAGGATGTCACAAAACAAACATCGCAAAGTCTATTTTTAAATATTTTAAAGAAAAAAATCATAAAATTGTGTTTTGAGGATGTTTTTCCTAAACTTTTCTTTTTTGCATTTAAATGCATGCGTACTTTTCACCGTT